GTTTCTCTCATGACAAACAATATTGACTAATCACGGTTTTTGTTTCCTCGTTTATTAGATATTTTGATTCATTAAAATGTTTGTGGCATTAGATATCAAATGTTGATACAGTTTTTGTTTCATTAAATTGGTTGTGGAGAATAAACAATAATTGCAATGCAAATAATATTCTCTGTTTAGCAAATGATGGGAATACTATTCACTGTTTATGCCATTTACGGGGTTTTCAAGCTTGAGATGCAATGCAAGTTCATTTGCAATGCCGAAAAATACAACTGTTTCTGCCTATTCACTATATCATGAGTTGTGCCTCGATGCAAATACAGAAATGATTGTTTAGAGCATCCGATTGTATATTTTTACGGGGTCTTCAAGCTTCCCTTGATGTTGAGGTAGAGAGGATATATACTGTCTATTTTTTAGAGCTATGAGTTGTGCCTGTCTTTAGAGCTACAATTTACAACACATTATGGTAGCTTCGATGGAATTGGATTCCACGACATGTATGAGAGGTTGCATATTACACATGTACTTTAGTTGTAATGTTCTCTATTGAGAATCATAGCTATGTACTCTTACATAATTGAATAATAAAACATGTTGATGTCTTACTATGGATGTAGATCTTTGACTGAACCACATAATTCCTTTGTGTTTTTTTTTTTTTTTTTTTAGCAAATCTGGACACTGTTGTTGGTTAATTTTGTGGATGTTGGTTCATTTTTTGGTGCATTTTGTGGAATTGATATGGATGAAGTTAGAATATTTTTTTACACATTTAGCAAATACTTTTTTTTTTGTTCCCTAGAGTTCAATGTCTAAGACGTCTGAAGGGGGTCTCTCCGCAATGTGGGATAAAGAAGTTACCAATATATTTTGCGATCTATGTATTAAGAAAATTGAACTGGGGAACAAACCAGCTACGTATTTTAATAAGAAGGGTTGGCAAAATAATGCTAAGAGGTTCAAAGAATTGACTAGAAGAGATTACAACGGGCTTAAATTCAAAAATGAATGGGACCAATTGAAGAAAGAACGGAAAATATGGAAGGAGCTGAAACGTGGCTCTACCGGATTAGGTTGGGATCCCGTTAAACGAACTATCGATGCTCCAAAAGAATGGTGGGCTGAAAGATTGGAGGTGCTAATACAAATGCCTTTTCTTAATTTCATTATTTTTTAGTTAATGTCTAAACTCCTCTAATAAATGTCTTATATTTCAGGTAATATCAACTGCCAAAAAATATAGACAGTGCGGAATTGAGCTTGAGTTCAAGAAAAAATTGGACATAATGTTTAAGGGGGTTGTCGCGACTGGAAAGAATTCATTCAACCCAAGTGAAATGAGATTTTCAGGAATACCAGATGAATTGCCACCTGAACATTGCCACCTGAAATGAATTGCCACCTGAACAGGTCATAGCTGATGAAGAAGGGTCTCTTATTAACCAAAAGGAGATTGAAGAGTCCAGTTCCATGTCCAAGAGGCCTAGGCTTGGCAGGAGGACGAAAGAGAAAGATAGTTTCTTGAAAAGCTCATTTCATGAACTAATTGCTGCTTTTTTAGCTCCACCTCCCCCAGACAACACTATTTAGGACTGCGTTGTCATTTTAGACAATATTGCAGAAGTAGCTGCTGATATACGCTTTCAGGCAAAATGTGCTTAAAAACTTGAGGACCCTACTCGTAGGCAAATGTTCATGGCCCTACGGCCCGAGCTGCGCCTTGAATATTTACGTGTTTTAGTAGAAGAATGAGACTGTTTTGTAAAAACCTATCAGTAGACGTATTTCATTTTATGTACTTCATTTCCAGATGATTTTTATTTCATTTGATGTATTTCATTTCCTGATGCTTGGAATATCATTTTATGTACTTCATTTATTGATGTTATGTATTTCATTTATGTCATTTTTAGATGCTTTCTTCACTAGATATATTTCATTTATGTCATTTTCTGCTAAATTATTTCATCCTAACAAATTTATAACTTCAGGATGGATCCACTATGAAAACGTCGTAAAAGAATGACATGGGCTGCAGCAATAGCGATATTATTGTTGGAATATTACCGCTCCAGCACTAGACGGATACCACGCATGACGTACTCATATGTTGGGAACAAATGGGTGGGCGAGATGCTTGTTGGACATCCAATAAGGTTCAGTAGCATTTTTCGAATGAGTGCACCCATTTTTATGTATCTTCTACATGACTTATGTTTTAACCACGGCCTCCAAGGTTCTTCTAGAACGATCACGAGATAGGTCTTGGCTATAATATTATATATTCTATCACATAATGAATCAGTTAGAGGAGCTATGAAGCGATTTCAAAATTCCTCAGAAACAAGTAGTTGATACTTCTACAAATGTATACAAGCACTTTTGAGTTTAGCAGTGCAAAACATTAAGCCATCCGATCCATCGTTCGTAGCTATTCCTGAACAAATTGCAAATGATCCCCGTACATGTCGTATTTCAAAGTAAGTTTGATAAGTTTGTTATTTTACTTCAATACCTGTGGAATTACTAACTATGAGTTACAGAACTGCATTGGAGCAATCGATGGTATGCATGTGGATGCCCGACTACCAAGTCATGAAAGGATCGCGTAAGGATCGCGTATCGCGTACATTGTCGGAGTGGTAAAACTACCCAAAATTTGATGGCAGTGTGTGACTTCAACATGTGCTTCACATTTGTAATGACGGGGCGGGAAGGAAGTGCACCTGACAGTCTTCTTTTTCCTATGCAACAAGAAATAGAACACAGTGTTTCTCTCACCCCCCTCCAGGTTTGTTCATCTTAATTAAACATCTTGTTAATTACATTATTTATTTTTAATTAATATTATTTTTCATAACAGGAAAGTATTATTTGGTAGATATTTGGTATCCAATATTAAAGGGCTACTTGAAGCCCTATCCAGACACCAAATACGATATTCATGATTTTGAGCGAGCAAGTGGTACGATTCGTGACAAAAAATAAATGTTTAACAAACGACACTCCTCTTTACGGGGGGTTATTGAAAGAACATTTGGAGTGTGGAAGAAGAAATGAGTTATCCTATGTGATATGTCCTCGTATTCATTTCCCAAATAGGTGCATATTGTGGTGGTCACTATGACACTTCACAACTTCATCTAACGACATCTCTCTCATTCAGATACGGACTTTAATATTGTTGATGATGATCAGATTTTTGACTCCCTAGAACCTTCAGGATCTCTAGTTGATAATGAGATCGAGTCTACTGAATACGAAACTCATGACGATGAGGGTGCAGCTGAGATGGTTGCTCTGAGGGAATCTATAGCAGATGCTATATATGGCAGCTAATCCAGCAAGTCTTTCTTTTCTTCGTATATATGTAGATCAATTTTTATGTGTATTTTATTTTTTTGGGATAAGTTCTGACATTCGTTTTTTTTTTAGTTTTTTTTTTGCAGTTATACAAACGTCTTCTAGGATTTCAGTTACAGACAGAGATATTTTGTGTTATCGTGGACTACCGTCTCCATTGCTCACATCACGTCAGTCTCATAGATTTGGGAGGCAGTTCTACGGTTGTGTCAAGGGTATTTCAGCTCATTGTGATTTCTTCCGGTGGGCTGATAGCCCTACATATTACACTGCCAGCTGTCATGGGAATCCGATATTTTCCCAGGTTGATAGTGCAGATGATAATAGACGTAGTCGGAGTTTGAAATTAAATATTTTAATATTTCTCATTGTAGTTGTACTTATTTTTGTTCTTTTTTATTTCTTCTGGTACTCACGAAAGTGTGAGAACTGTATGTCATCTTTGAACTGATTCATCTTTTGGAACTGATCTGTGATGATTGTATGCTTCTGCATTACATGTTTCTGTACTATCAATAAATTATTCTGAATAAGCTGCCCCAAACAGTTTTATCAGACAGGGGTAGAAATGTCATTTAACCACCAATAAACTAATCTGAATAAGCTGCCCCAAACAACAAGCTAGATTATTCTGATAATCTGCAGCATATCAGATTATCAAAATAATCTGTTTATTAACAGATTATAAATAATCAACATTTGCGCCAAACAGACCCTTAACCATGTTGAATCACTCACAGGGTAGTCATGTAATTTTGAAATTAGAAGACCCTATAATAAAATCTACGCTCTCTGAATCAGTAGCTCAAGTTTTCTAGAAAGCTGCAGTCTTCTTAAAAGAATAGAACGACAGCAAAAGCGTAACAAAATGACTTATTCAGAACAGAACATATACCGTAAATCTATGCGCGAAGTATTAGAGTATAACTGTTTACTCCTTCATGTACTCAAAATTTTTAGCATACAGTTTCTATATTGTACGCCGTGTACTTGTACTAAAAAAAATGAAATACACAATAAGAACACAAATATAAAATTCTGTTATTCATGTATAATCTGCACCTAATAATTTCCCCTTAATCACACATAAAAATGCCATCTTTGACGCATCAGCACGTCAAAGTGTACGCATGGATGAAAATTACAGAGCTAAAACTCCAAAATCCACCAACAAACAAGCTCCTTTCTCGATAAAAGATCATCCACGTCACAAACTGCATCTCGACGCACGAAGAAAAACAAAGCGAAACAATTTTAACGTACAAAAATCAACCTTTTATAACCGATAGACTTCAACAAACTCCAAATCCCTCAAGTAGCGAAAAATCACAACAGCAATATTAAACCAGAACAGCTCAGATCACCAAAACCAATATCTACGAGCAATCGACGTCCCGCACCACAAGTAACGTGGAGAAAAACAAATCGAAACGTAAAAATTCAATCTTTTTCAATATATTAATCTCAGCAACCTCTCAAACAGCACATAAAAACCACAACGGATCAAATCACAAAACGCCACAACTACGAACAATCCACATCGTAAATGAATCAATAATGCATGGGACCACAATGAATCGCCTAAGAAACTCCGATTAATTTGAAAAATCAGAATAGTAGGAGGAACTCACACGTATGGAGACATTCCGAGATAGTGGTGGCCTCACGGAGCAGCTTATGGCAAAGGGGGCATGTCATGCACGCAGCAAGGACCTCTCTTTTTACTCTGACAACCTGCATCGTCCTCACCACCGCGCTCCTCTGCATGCCAGCAAGAAAAAGGTTCACAAACGATTCGACGTCGACATTGACGTTGGAGGAAAAGGGATCAATGAAGAAGATCTGAGATGAGGAGATTGATTGGAGGGAAGGAGAAGATGAACTGCAGCAAAGGGGTGGACTTCTCAAGCGGGATTTTGGGGGCGGAGATGTTTGGCCGGCGTTGGGGGTTTGAGGGCTCTCAGTCCCCAAGGATCGAACAGCTATGGCTATGTATGTAGAGAGAGAGAGAGAGAGAGAGAGAGAGAGAGAGAGAGAGATAAAAATGAAAACTTTTTAAGAGCAAGGGGTTGTGTTTCTGCTAATAATGTGTCGTCGGTGTGTTCGTTTCAGTCTTTTAATCGGGAAGCTCTCTATTTACTACGAGATAGTTACATACTCGTAAACATTGATATTTACAAATTAGTGACGTAGATGGTTTTTTTGATCTACCGAATTCATGTACATCAAATTATTGAAAATTTGATAAAAATGATAAAAATGAATTGAGATTTTATCATAAATTTTAATATTTGAGTAGGAATTTGTAAAATAAATGAAAGTGAGTGGTCGATTTGTGAATAAAAAAGGTCGATTTAATTTCCCATATATCAAAAAAAATATTATGTTTTCCAAACATAATTCCGATGTCCAGACTTTAAACACAATATTTTCTGTTATCTATCATCAAGTCAAAAACTTCAATTTTTACGTGCATGTCATTTTATCTATTTTATATACACATCACGTGCATTTAATTTTTTTTAAAGTTGAAATAATGATATTTTTTATGTAATAAATGTCAAAAAAAAATTTTTTTGAAGTGTTAGATATATAAATAGATAAAAATTTGGTGGTAAATGTAAATGTGACTATTTTTATCAGCAGTAATAGCATCAGATCTTTCAGTTTATCACATCTATAATATATTTAAAAATAAAAAAAATATATATATATATATAACAATAAAAATAAAAATAAAAAATTTTGTATTCTGTGCATCTGAATTACTCATAATATTTAATTCATATTTAATAATTTTTGAAAAAAAATACTTGATCTTTAACTTGATCTTACTTCCTAAAGCTAATTCAAATCAGATTTGTTTTTCAGTCCTGAACAAAATGTCAAGAGGATGGTCATGCAAATCTGCAATATCATATATATCCACAAGGGGAAGAAATTCTCTACATGCAAAATTATATCAAAATATTAAATTTAAAACTTTTCATATCGCACCAAAAAAAATTATATAAATTGTTTTTATAAATCCTTAAATTTTGAATGAAAGATAATACAAATCTTCTTCCATTAACGTATTCGTCGAGCTTCACTTCACTGCATAGAAAGGATTATTCTTAGCCAAATCAACATCGCCAAAATGTTCAACAAAAAATCTAAACAAAAAAAGATTGAAAGTTCATCTTAATCAAAGCCAATCAATCTAAGAAAAAATTCATCTCGCCCCAATAATTCCGATTTTTAAATGCAGATTAGTGATATTAGGTTGGTATTGATATCGATCATCCCAAAATTCATCCGGTCGCCGAACACCCAAAACAGAGCAATCAACATCGCAAAAGATCAAATACCGCGAAATGGAATGAGCCAGAAAGAATCGTCGAAGAAAACCTAGACCCATAATCTGAATAGGGATAAGAAGAACTGACACGTATGGAGACATTTGGAGATGGTGGTGGAATCGCAGAGGAGCTTATCGCACAGAGGGCACGTCAGGATCGCTGCGAGAAGCTTTCTCTTCGCCCTCAAAATCTGCATCGAATCAGCCGCAACATCGCCTACCACGCCGATCGATCTCTGTATGTCAGCGCGAAGAGAAATCCAGAGCGATTCAAGGTCGGCATTGATGTCGACAGAGAGTTGGAGGAGGTTAGGGTTTCTAGATAGAGAGAGATAAAGAGAGGAAGAAGAAGACGATTACGGAGCGAGGAGGTTTCCGGCGAGGAGAAGAAGAAGAAGGAGGCGCGTTTGAGGATTCACATATGTTCTTTAAAGGCTGAAGCTAACGTGCGCCGCACAGTGGGGGAGGTGGTGAACCGGTTTATTTTTTGAACCGGAGCGGTTCGTTCTGAGGTGTGTGGTGACCGGTTTTTTTTCATGATTAAGTGGAAATGATTAGGATTAATTGTGGGGGTGGTGCAAGGAAAGAATTTGTTAAAAAAATTATTAATAATAATAAAATTGAGTTATCATTGTTTATCGGGTTCTGGGTTTGACCCAATTGAAAAATGCTCGACCTGAACCTGAACAGAATATTAACAGGATAGAAATTTCAACCTAACACAACTCAACTTCAACCTGCCAACTCCAAACCGACCTGTATAACCCATTTAATATAAGAAGGAATGCCTTCGGGATTCATAAGTTAGATTTCATATGCATGTTTCTGATAAAATACTCGTCATTTCTTATATGGTTATTCTTCGTCTTCAAAATTTTACTATTTGTCGATAAATATAAAACGAGGAAATGAATCGGGCATTCAATAACACTTTGGATTTCCTTTAAAAATTAAAACATTAGAGGAATACAACTTAGTGTACAAATGAATAAGCATAGGAAGCAAATGTTAATAAATAAATAAATAAATAAATAAGTATTATTTTTAAATATTTGACATGATATAATTAATTAGACTCAAATATAATAGAAAATGCATATTTGAAATCAGAACACTTTACTCTATAAATGCCATTGAAGTAAACTTATAGTGTAATTTATAAGATAAATAGAGTTAATTGTGAATACTAAGTTCAAGAAATGTTAAGCACTCAATTATACAAGCTATGATTAAACAACTTGCACCAAAGTTTCACAAGTGCACAAATACATAAGGTACATTGATGAAAACAAACTTCTATTATAAATGAAATCATTAGATAAAAATACACAATAAATTTGATTTACTCTACATAATAACATTGAAAAACTAGGCCAAATGTCTCCAATTCAACATTCTAAGACAAGCAAATGAACTAGGTATGGAAGAAATCAAAACTAAACTAAAGAGTTTTTCATTTTTTTGCATGAAAAGTTTTTAGATGGTTCTACACCAAATTAATCTAAATTCATGCATGTGTTATCCTCAGTTAGAATAAAAATTCTACTACTCCAAACATGCAAGTTCAGTCATTTACTCTTTAAGAAGATGGAGAAAACATTATGCCATTTTAGTTTAAAACTTAAGAATATCCAACATTTGCTTTACAAGTGCATGTAAGCTTTACACAAAACCTTTTACCTATATCCACTTAACTCAAAGTATAATATATAGCAAAAGACTTTTCAAAATATTCTTGAAATTTGGTGGTAAGTAAGTGTTGTTACTAGTCTAATGAAAGCTATAATTTCTATTACATTAATTCAGAGTTATATAAGACTGAATACATTGAGAGATATTTTTTTTCTATAATTAACTTTATAATTACTTGCATTAATTTGATAAACACTAGCTTCTTTAAAGTTCTTTCCCAAATAATTGTATAATAAGAGTTTCAGTTTTCACAAATTCCTTCCCAAATAATTTTTAATGTTATATTAGAATTATAAAAAATTATAAGTAATTAAATGAGAGTAGTGTACCACCTACCATTGATGTGCGTAAAAAGTGTAGTGTTGTATGGAGTGTTTACAATTTTATTTGTATTGATTTTATGTTTTTTTGTGAGTACACTTGATACTAGGTTTCAACCAAATTGGAGCTTCAGCATGTAAAAGCCCCAACATGGAAAAAAAATGGAGCTTTTGGCACTAAACAGGCTAACTCAGCATGTAATAGCCTCAGCATTGAAGGTACTAGGTTTCAACCAAAAAACAGTGGACGACATCGCAGTGGTTGGACCAAATGCCCTAATGCCAAAGGAATGGTGCTTCGACACCACCCAGATCAATGCCTCAGCGCCCAATTCAACCAAAGTGAGCTAAAATTCTAGAAAAGCCAACATCTCAACACCAATACTTGAGCCCCGTCACACTTACATCTAGTGTTGCAACGCTACCCACGCCAACGCCATGGAACCTGATGCTCTAATTTTGTGATCTTAAGTCTTGAATTCTGGTGCTTGCATGCAGCACTGCAACATCCACACCATCGACCCAGCGCCATCTTGTCAGAACTGTAGTGTCCCCACAAACTTAAACAGTTTTGTGATTTTGCTTACGGTTTCATCATGGAGAGCATATTGGAGACATATTTCTTCGTATGAGAGGAGACTCACAACATTTTTAGAGACATAAATAAATGGAGAGAGTGTAGGAGAGGGCATAGAGAGTGAGTGTTATGTATTATAGTGAAGAGAGTGAGTGTTTGTTCTATCAATCTATTCTGTAAGGAAGAGATCCGGGTGGCAATCCTTTCTTAGGAAAGCAAGATTTTTCCATCCTAGTTCTATTTTTATAATTTGTACTTTGATTATACTTTTTTTCAATAGCTTTAATGCAAATTGTGTTATTGTTTTCAACCATATTTAGCACTTAAGTTTCATTTCTTCTTTGGATTGGTTTTTCTTTTAAATCTTGGAGAACACATGTTAAATTTTTGAACTTTTGAAATGCTAAGTTGATGTTTTAACCTTTCAATCTTAAATTACATTCAAACTAATCATTTTAATTTTTAAAACCTAGGAGTATCAGAAGAAAAATAAAAACACAACTAAGTTAAAGCACATAAGTTTAGCGGAATAGAATGTGGATGCCAAGGATATTTTGTAGGGTAAAGAGAACTTAACTGAAATATGAAATTCTCATGCTTGTTATATCTCAGAAGAGAATACGAGTACTAGGGCCCGATTGCCAACTATATTAAGAGAATCACATGAAGAAACCTAGGTTTTGTTGAACCAATTAAAGGAAGAATTTATTTCTAATCAATACAAAACACCACCACTTGCTTAATTTTTCTTTTTTAGGTTTTAAAAAAATTTGACACTAAAAAATCTTAAATAATTTTAACTTGATTTAGGATTAGTAAATTAGTACTTGAATTTATTTAAAAATTAACAAAGTTCCTCATAGGATCGATAAATTGGACTCATAATTTGTATACTTTTGATCAACACATATACTTCGGTGATTCAAGTGTATACTTCATTACAATGAATCAACCACTCCTTATATGAAATCCTCTAAAATTTATCCTTATATGAATCTCAAAAAGTTTGAGAGTATCTGGTGACATGACTTGGCTCACTCATTAGATATTTTATTTTGAAAAATCCTAATTAAATTTAGTAATGGAATTGAGATGAGCCACAAATTTGAGTAGAATAATCGAATCCAAGAATACATATGAATATGTAACACATGGTTATTAATATTTTGTGACTTAAGTATAATGATTTCATTCTGACTCATTTTGTGACTTAAGTATAATGACAAAATGATGCAACATGAGTTTAGAATTAATTTCTTATATTAATTAGAGTAATTAATGGCATTTAAATGTTTCTTATTTGTGGAGTTCTGTTGTGATATAAGATTTACACTTGTTGTTGTGCCTTTGAGAAAAAGGATAGAGAGGAAAATCGCACGCGCGCGCGCGCGCACACACACAGATATATATATATATATATGCATTGAGTAAAGTGTAAATAATAAGGCATGTAGCATAAATAAGAGCGATATTAAAAGAGGCATGAATAAAAGGGTCCCCAACCAACCTCATTTGCCTAACTATTCGAGGTCCGCCTTCACTACCGGTAAACTGGCCAGAAGGAGATTCAAACCCGTAACTTGAGGGGACTCACAAGCTTCAAAAGGGTTGCTCTACCAACAAGATATATATATATATATATAAGGAAATCGGTATTTGGCATAGGCTCAAATACTGATTTCTCATGCACTAAGCCCCATGATGAGAGCCCGTGTCATGTGCCTAAATATTCTAGAACCTAGCGCCACTGGGCATTGAACCCGTGATCAGAGGAGACTTACAGGGAACCCCGCCAACCAATAGGCCACGACTTGAGGCACATGTACACGCACACACATAAGAAAGTTGAGAGCTCAAAAAAATGTTCCGTATACTTTGATGTAAAACTTTTACCTTATGTTTTGATTGAGTAAATAGTGGTTGCTAATAAATTGATGTCTTTTATAAATTCTCTCTTATCCCTAGTTTGGTAGCCATTTCGTCTGGTGTTGTCTGATATTATCTATTTAGTTTGTGAACAATTTTTCATCTTACCTTGTGGGATTAAGTGCAAAGCTTTGATTTTTTTTCCCTAAAAAGTGTCCCCCTATAGCTAGGAGTTATAGTAAAGTCTTTGGCTTCACCTTTGCGCAAAACTTATTTGGTCTTGGTTGTCATAGTAGACCATATTTTGCCTAGCTAGAGATGAACATCATAACTGCCTTGGAGGGATCCATGTACATTTAACAGAAGGAAGTTAAGAGAAAACAAAAGGCTAAGAATAATATATATAGAAAATCTTATCATAACTATAAATATTGAGAGGCAATGTTAATGATAACACAACCTAATAAGGCAGAGTCAGACAATTCCAATGCTTGCAGATTGTATAATAGTTCATAAGTTGAGAAGTAATTATATGATTCAAATGATATGGGATGATGAATGAGCTCCAAATGCCAAAAGATAGTGAGATGGCTTTATTAGTTGAGAGGTTGTGAAATAATCATTAAATACTATGGGGTGACAAAACAACTCGTTGAATAAAAAATGATAAGATGATTCATAGGGTATAATTTTGCCATGTTGGTAGCTTATAAATGCGCGTATTTTTTTCTCTTCTAACTCATATGTATTGCAATAATAAAAGTGAATTTTAGATTATACATAATGCAATACATCATGAAAAGAACAAAGAATATTGAGATTAATAGTCAACTTATCATCACCATCTTCAATATGTCACTTTGATTATCTTATTAGTGACATCTGAGTCCATGTTTTAGCTTTTTGGTTGGATAACACTCAATATGTATTGCAATCACATCATTTTTTTTTATAGATAAGTGCTATTGAGTTGTTATTTATCTTATCAATATTACCACTAACATTTAATCCTTTTAACAAGAAGCTATTGAATTTCTTATGTGATATGTCATTATTAAGATAATTCTTCTTTTTTTCTTTTTTTTTTCTACTCCTCAAATAAATGAGTTATTAATTTAAGTAATATTTGGGATAAATTTTATTCTTCATTTTCATTCTTATTTTAGATTGATTTTGTAAAATATGGTTGTCTTTTTATATATTTCATGTATTTTTATTTTAGGGTATTAACAAACATACCAACCAATTCCTATGTATTGACACATCTAACATCTAAACTTTATTATTTGCATCTATAAGAGTCAATTCTTTCATACACATCAAAAATTACCAACATTTTAACTTTTAAATTATAAAATACTTCTTCTCATGCATAGATAGGGTGACAATATGTGAAAATTGAAGTTAATGTTAAATATGCAAACATGCAAATCTTCTTTCTATATTTTGTTTTAATATATATATATATATATATATAACTATATTTTGCCAAAAAGGAGCAATCCTATTGTTTACCCTCATTTAAGTTTATAAAAAACCTCTGCTAGGGTTTACTCCCATCTCGTCTTCACGGCGACCCGAGTAGCCCTCATTATCTCTACACCGAATTGAAATTGCAGTCTGCTCATTCGTCGTACTTCGGCATATGCTCGACTTTCTCTGTTCTTTCATCGCGCTTCATCTGCCTTGAATACGTCTGCGTCGAATTCGTCTGCTCGACTTCGCCAGCTTTGGCCCTCGACTTCGCAACTTCGTCTGTCTCGAAGACTTCGAGTTTTCATCTTCTTTGACATCGTCTCTCTGTTTCCTTGTGTTTCAAGCTCAAGAACTTCGTCTGCCTCGAAGAATGGAGGCCGACTCAAGCTCAAGAACTTATTAGACGATACATTAGTTACTATTGGCAATGACACTCATTTTACCAATTTGTTAGCTGGCTACTTTCCTAGAACTAGAGGCAGAGGCAGGGCAAATATGAGTCACTCTCTAGCTATCTGATACTACGTGTTTTGCCACTTTTAATTTTTAGGCTCTCATGTATTTTTCTATATTTTTTTCAGTATTTTCTTTTTTCGAATCATTTGCAGGTGGTGTTTACCATGTGGGGAGGGTATCATGCTTCTACCTGTATCTTTCTTTCTTTTTAATATATTAGCCTTGAGCTTCCTCAATATATATATATATATATATATATGAATTTATTATTTTTTGAAAAAGTTGAGCCCAAAAGTCGAACCCGTGATTTTACGGTGAAAGACTACACTCCAAACAACTATGCCACAGATAAGTGCGTTATGTTTTTTCCAACTTACAGCTCAGGAAAAATATTCATCTGAGAAGGTCAGCAAAAGAGAAAGAACTGCGAAAGAGCGAAAGAAAGAAAGGAAAAAAAAAAAAAAAGATTTATAACACACATTATAACTTTGTAATCTTCATCTCCTTATTCCAAAATCTCATTCAGAAACAATCTCCAAAAATCTGAAACCCTAAACTCATGATATCCAACTCAATCTAACACTCTGTTCATAAAAATTTCAAAAAAAAAAAAAAAAAAATTATATCATCATACAACTGGGATCTCCTGAACTGACCATCAAGGAACTTCCAATATATCCACAAATGATACATTTTTTAAGGTTACATATAATCCCAGCTCTGCTTTCATAAAAAAGAAAAAAGAAAAAGGAGCACATCAATAGACAACAGCCAAAAAAACAAGAAAAGAGGAAGAAGAAGCAAAACAGTGATTAAGGTGAGGGGAAGATTTAGGGTTTAGGGTCAGGATTTTCTAATTGACTAATACCATATCTTCTGTCGAAGATTTAGCGGCGACGACTGCTTCCAGTCTTTGCCAGGCCATCTGTCTCTGTTCGGCCTGCGACTTGGCCTTGGCTTCCTGGTCGATGTACTTCTGCTGGCATTCCTCGAATAGCTCGCTGTCCATGTCGAGGAACATTTTGCGGACGTTGGCGGTGAGTCCGTGGACCGCTTGGTTCCAGTGGCCTTGCATGTTTTTCTCGAGGGCGTCGAAGATGATGGGGAATATGATGTTTCGGTTCTGGGCGATTAGGCTCACGATGTGGTCGTTGTTCCATAGAAAGAGGGCTCGTTCGGCGACCTGTTGAGTTTAAGAAGCCATTAGGAAACATTAGAGTTGGGGCATTAATCAGTCTGAAAAAGATAAAAGGAAGGGCTTTCAAATGCCAAATAAAATTTAGGAAGGTCAACATGCATACCCACTCAGTTCCTATGTATTTACATATCAAATACCCAAACTTCAAATTTTATATACATGCCACCTTACCTATGCATGAAAAGTAAAACAAATTAACATGGTGGTATTAGGTCTTTGAAATGTAAAATGTTGTATTCCAATGGAACTCTTAAGTTTAGAGAAGATGCACTAGATGGACCAGTCCTGGATTGTAAATACCTGGCCCAGACCAAAGTTCACTTCCACCAATGATGAAATCTAAATAAAAAGTTCAAGTCTCCTAATCCCACTTGTTTTGACATTAGTCATAAGTTTGGCATCATCTAAAATGATCAAAAAAATACTCAAGCTATAAAGAGGGGAGTACAAGCTTAACTCGATCCGAACACGACTCAAAAAGGTTCGGGTCGACGCAATTAACGTTTAGGTTTAATCCAGATTTAGAATCCTAACCTGTTTAATATTTTGAGACCAACCTGAAGTAAACTTGAATAAATATTATGTCTTATGTTAAATAGTTAAGAATGTCAGGTTCATGTTAGACTTTCTGACCCATTTAATATTTGGTCTAGTCAATTTGGGTCGCACCGGAACATGACTCACAAACCAAATTTGACAACTCTGGCTACAAAGACTCCTCCCACCTTTGGTTATATTAAAAAACAAAGTCTAGGTAATGATGATAAATTTATTCAAGCAAAAACAAAGTACCTCATCCATCAATCACATAACTATCATTGCCTTAATACACAATCCAGCTTATATCAATCATCATTTGTACTAGGGCTATAAAAAAAGCCCGTTGCTCGTCTTTGACTCAACAATTATATATCAAGTTCAACTAGCTTTCATGAACTCATATATTTAACAAGTAAAACATAAGCATTACCTTATTTGATCGTGCTTTACTCTAAAATTTATAAATGACCTCTAGGTAAACTTTATATTTATGACAGCTTGTTAAGCTTAATAAATTAATGGGCTGAACATTAATAAAAAATTTGGCTCTTAGCACCACAAACATCTGCATACCTTACCTGACCTTCAAGGTTTTCTTCCAAGCATCTTCTCAGTTTGGTTATGAAATCAAAGAAGAATATGTTGGTTGAACTTAATCGATAAACTCCTCATTCTGTGCTAGAAGATTAAATTTTTAATAATGAATTTGTTCGACAAGCATAATAGTCAACATTCACATTCTTTTTCAATAGAGCTACAGATAATCTACATGGAGAAGTATTCATGTGTATAGCCCTTCTTTCATCAGATGTCCAATTCTAGTGTAGATAGCAGACACAAGTTCAGATTTGATAGTGCATCTGCCACAAACAAAGACAATTTATGCTCCACAATTCATTTTGGTGGCCCATTTTACCTCTTAGAAAGTGAAAATGAGTCTCTACAAAAGTTAATCATTTGATCTAAATGAAGTGAAAGTAGACTTCTTTTTTTTTAATATTACTAACATCTCGAGCATAGGTAACAATAACAAAAAAAAGACACAAATCATCTTTGTACCTTAACCAAGAAAAACTAAATCAAGGAGAGGGTTAGTTTGTACTTTGCACTTTGAATCATAACTTGCAATAATTATATTTTTAGAATAGTCCTATTACTTAGTTTATGCATACAACAACAACAACAACAAAGCCTTAATCCCACTACATGGGGTCGGCTTATTATTTTGATATTTTTTTTATTTATTATCAATAGGAAGTCATGTTTAATTCATTAAATATATAATAATTTTAATTGATTAATTTTGGTGTAAAATAAAGAGGGAGTTCATAATTCTTGTTCAAATATTCATACCATAATAATTCTTCTTCAAGTTATATTCATATCATATTAGTTTTAATTAATTAACTTTTGGAGTAAAATAATAAGGTAATTCATAATTCTTGTTATCATAATGATTCTCGAGTTTAATTTTCATAATCGACTACTAGTTAAAAATTTTTCCCCTCATTAATATTTGCAATAAAATGCAATAATTATTTTAGATTTATGCTTTGTATGAAGTTTGTTGAATCGCATAACACTATAAAATGTTCCCTGTCATACATTGCTTTCAATTAATCAAAGTGCATTTTTTCGTGCTTCACAATTCAAATTAAAAATTCCTTTTGTGTGCCACATCACGCTTGGCGCATTGCCAATCTTGATGCACCACTACAAATATGAATTTAGCTAGAGCTTTGGCTAGCAGCAATCTGCATACCAACTCCATAGCGAGTAATTTCTTTTGGCACCTCAGGTCAAATATGACTGAGAAAATGCTCCATCTTGATTTCAATATTAAGTTAGATTGCCATGTACCTAATGTCCAAGCTAACAATGCATTTGTTTTTTTTCATCTTTTACTCTTCCTTTTTTGTCTAGACAACTTTAGGAATTGATTCTATGCCCAAGCTACAATTTAGATCATTGAAGCAATTATTCTAGGTGTCAAGATTGCCATGGATACGATTACTGCTGTCACTAAGGTTGTCCTAACCAGTCAAGGTGCCTATTTCCTATGCTGCCTTGCTAAAAAAAATCATCATTGCTTTTCTTGTACACTATTGCTAGCCCTCAACTCCAAATAAAACTTCCGACTAATCTTATAGTAATATACCCATAGTTGGCAATGCGAGTAGACACAACTTATTATTTTGTTGGCCTTTCATCATTTTCAATATCATCTTATTTACTTGCTTTTCATCTCTACTAGGACATTTTTCTTATGAGAAAAATATCAAAATTGACCCCAGACATATTCTAGTGTTAGTTTTAAAATTTATAGAAGTGTCAAATATTAAAAGAGCTTGTGAACTAATTTGACGTTTTATAGACTCTGGGACTAAAATTACCTCATGTAAGTAGTCAAGAGACTATTTTAACACTTTACTCTTTTAATTATTTTCCCCAAGTTTAGACTTCCTCACTTCAAAGGTAACCACCGTAGTGCTTGCCTTGACGATTGAAGTAACTGATTACAACACCTAATTGAGTCGCATAATTCTTGAATCATGATGTCCCCTCCAATAAAGCATCTAGAGCAAATGCTTGCTTTCAAGTTTCTATTGTATACTATATCAGAATCTGGTCAAATCGACGCACAATAAAACCACTTCTCCTTCTATTCATAATCAAGGGGAAGAATTAAATCTTAAATAGTCAATCCCTTGATTCATGACCACATTATTTTTAACAGGACATAATTTTAAAAATTTGCATCCAATTACACCAAAGCATGGCTACAACTAGCTGAGAAGGTGATCTTCTACATGGTCATACCAACAAACAAAGAGTCACTACTTGTCCAAAACAACCACCAACTTCTCAACGTTGACACATCCATTTACTAATTGCCATGTCTTAATTTATAGCTGCATGCATCCTTTGATCATGATTACTTTCCTTGTGAAACTCCACCCATGCATCTAGTATCTCCTCAATGCAGAGCTCCAAAAACACTCATCTAAATGTAAACCTCTAATGATAAGAATCTCCACAAGGAACCAAAGCTCCATTGACTCTCTCCCTAACGTGAATCAAAGCTCTAATTGCTGGAGAAGGAAAACAATAACTCAACCAAAAAAATCTAGATGCTCTCCATCGTTAGTTTCATACTTTGCCGCCTTAAGAAAAAAAAGTGATTCAACTCAAAATATATAAATTTTCATATTACTTGAACTAAAGATGTAAAATTTCGTCAATAATGTCCTCTATTTAGTATAATATTAAGGAAACAAAATTTTGATGAGTTCATATAAGCATTAACAAGAATATGAACATTCAAGTTCTTTAATTGCATACAATAACACAAACAGTTGTAGACATTGCAAACGGAATCTTCTTATTAACCTTGAATGGAAATCGGCCGTTCTACAAAAATTTTGGCAGATGTTCTTGTTCATCTTGGGATGCACCTTCATTATCATCCTTGTCTACAAAGACTATGTACCGTTGAAATCATTTCCAAGGGAGGATGATGGCTGCATATTGCAAAATGACATTATTTTTGGTTGACGAGTCTTCCTTTCTCAAGAGGTTCCAAGCATGTTTTCCAAATACCCCAACCACTGCTTAAACCTCCTGACACACAACAAGGTTGAAAAATTCTCCCATATTTGGGATTGTTGACCTCATTTCGAGGTCATTTCTCCTCTTCTTAGATTATGGGATCTAGCTCTAAGGCTTCCTATCGACTATCTTAGAGGACTAGAGCTGAGACCTACCCTTTTTTAGAAACTCGAACCACTTCACGTTTCTCTTGCGGTGTCTCTCCTGGGTGGTCTCAAACTATCATCTTTTGGTCGAGTGGTTAAGGACCAACATGTGGGAAATCAAAGAGAAGTTCCCAATAGGATCTCAAACCCTAGGAAAACCTTTTTATGGCTTTATCAACACACTGACACCATAAAATACACAAAATCCACTAAGTTGTGCAAAGTCGGACTAAAATTGAACTTAAACAGGGTGAAAAATGTGAACTTATCCAGATGACTTCTGATGACGAAATGGACTGCGTCGACGCGTCTGAGACATCAATTTTAGCTAGGGAGGAGACTCATATTGTCATAATTCAACACATGAGCAAATCACACACAAATCGATGAATTCGTCAAAATGACATCAGATGACGAAACAGACCGACTCGGCGCACCCGAAACTTCAAAATTACCTAGAAAGGACATCCAATTTGCTATGATTTCACGCACGAACGAAAATATACAAATCGAGATTTTCAAATATTAACATAATAATAATAATAATAATAATAATAATAATAATAATAATAATAATAATAATAATAATAATAATAATAATAATAATAATAATAATAATAATAATAATAATAATAATAATAATAATAATAATAATAATAATATAAAAAAAATCCAACTTAATCCCACCCA